AAACAAAGAGATTTAGACATCATGCTTTAGACGTGTTCAAAGGGTCCTCCCTTCATCTCGACCCAAAAAATACACTTAAACAGCCGTGATTTAGAGCAGAACAGATGTCGGTTTATGCATTAACCCTCTACTTTTGTTGTACAACACTTCATGAAAGCGACTGTAGCTTCAAAGACGTAAGTGCGGTTCAAAATCGGAGCCGCCTCACCCTCCGCTTTTCGTAGTCGGCATGACCAGAGAAGCAAGAGGAGGGCAATGCACTTAACCTATTTCGTTAGCCCACTTTCAGTGCTTCAACACTGCTTTGTTTGTAAGTCCAAAGTCACCTAAGACAAACACTGTTGATGGCTTTGGTCTTGGATGCATTTGTCAATCGAATACGAATCTAGAGCACCACGATCCAGGATGGTGGTGCGCTGCCAAATGCCTGGTAAGCATAAACAAACCTCCAGTAAACAAGAATGAATTATGCTGCTGACAAGGTGAAGCGTAGACATGACGACTGCTCGCATGGTGATGAACTGAAGAACACCAGAGAATGCCGTTATTAACGGCAGATTTAGAAACATGACTCGATATTTTTATTACACACTGTTCTGCATCTACTTATCAATGGGAATGCAGTCGTTAAATATGTATTCATACATAATCTACATTCTCTACGAGCCACCCTGTTCGGAAATGGCAAGGACTGCAGCCTTGGTTAGTCTGCGAATGCATAAGAAATTGTTTTGCATAATGCCGTAGGTTGTTATTGTCACCACGTAAGTTATCATACATAAACTTTTACCTGCTCTTCATCATCATTCCAACTTTGCTGAAGCAGAGCAATAATTGTTTCAACGTGGGTAAATAATCGAACCTGATGTAGCCATTTACAGACGGAAAACGCAATCCCAAACGGTATGCAGTAAAGACATTGTGCCAGCACCCAGTGATCGAGCAAGCCTAGAACCATTGTCGGAACACAAGTTAATTGAATTAGTGAATTCAAGAAAATGCGAAAATGCGAAAACGACGAGAACGGCGCTCCAGTCGTGAAGCAAAGCTGATCGGGGTAATGTCTGCTTCTCGCCTCCATCCCTACACCATTGTACGTCCAAACAAGTCTAATAATAGAATGGACTTTCTGTTGACCGAATCATGAAAAGCCCACCTCTGAAAAAACAGTGACATCGAATACCTTGGAGAAGGTAATGTTACCGCTTGACCAATTGAAAGCTCCAGACCATCCAAAAAAACACCATAATCTCCATACGACCAGAGAATGAGTCGCCAACTCGTTGCATTCAATCATTCAAACTCAAACGTTCCTAAGGTGTAGTTCTATCAAGGAACCGTTCCAAAGGCCACAGAGAAATACGCTCACCAGTCCCACAACCCAAACCAAAACAAAAAATACTGACGCAAAAACATAAATCTTATGTATGCATACGTCCTACAACTTTGTGGCATCGAAAAATTCGAGCGCCTTGTTACCACGAACTTTTGCCGAATGAGGTACATCTTTGGGAACTTCCAGCGCATCTCCTGCCTTCAAAATTATCGATTTGCCATACATAGAAAACTCAAGTTCACCGTCAACAACGACATCCATCTTGTCGACATCATGGGTGTGTGCTCCAAAAACATTTCCTGCGCTGAAAGTGTATGGTGTAGCAGAATAGCCCTGTGATTTAAAAAAAATTACATTACGTGGACAAGAGAAACGCACGTAAAAACCAAATAAAGAGTACCATCTTATTAAGTTTATTCTTCATAGTGTCCCGCGACAGCACACCATCCTCGGCTTCATTCCAATGATGAACGACAAATTCCGGCATTATGCGTCCTAGAATATCTAACGAACAGCAACAAAGACCTTGTGAGTATGAAATAGCTAAATTTGAAAGTTTCAGAAAAAATGAAACAAATATTTTCCCCAGCTTTGACCAGCAAGACCAAACACGAGCGCCACGTACCAAACCTCCCAATACGTAACAAACAG